GCCGTTAATTGGCACGTGGCAACCTGATCTCCACCCTCCCGCCACAGGTGGGCGGCCCAGACCTGAGGCTCAATCCAGAAAGAAGTCATCTCCCTATAACCCTGGAATGCTAGCACAGCGGGCAGGGCGCTTGCCTTGCTGCCTTGCATGGGGCTTACCAGGGTTCAATCCCTGGTATTCCATATGGTCTCCTGAGCTGCCAGAGGTGAACCCTAAGTACAGAGCCAGAAGTATGTCCTGAGCACCACAGTGTGTGATCCCCAAACCAAGCCCCAATAAAGGGGAAGTTATCTCCCCAGAAAGTGAGGGCTTGGATCATGGGAGGATCCTGGAGCATTCCTGGCTGGCACCCCAACCTCCTCCTGGAGGGGAGCAGGGAACCTCACATTCAGGCTTTAGCTCTAGGAGTTGTTTTGCCTCTAAACCACCTAACCCCCCTCACCCCCCACACACACTTGGTCTTTGGTCATTTCCAGTGGTGCTCAGGTCCTCGCAGGCTCAGGGGAATCATACGGGGTGGTGGGAATCGAACCTAGATCAGCTACATGCAAGGCTAAGAGCCTTACCCATTGTACTATGGCTTGGGTCTAGGGGTCCCCTCTTAGGAACTTGGTGGAGTGCTTATACTTGGGGGGAGAGAGCAGAAAAGGTGTTTCCCAAAACCACATAGCCCTCGGGGACGGGGAACACATCAGCCTGGAACAGGGTCTGGCCCTCGGGTGAAGACCCCCTATCCGGGACTATGGGAGCTTATTCCTGACCCCCTAGGAGAACCCTGGCCCCTGACCGGGGGTCCTCCACCAGCTTCTCTTCAGCCACAAGGCAGCCAGTGTTAACTTGGAACAAAGACCAAGGGGAAATGAAGGCTGAAGAATGAGCAGCCCCCGCAGGCTGATGGATGGTGGAAACATTGAGACAAGTTTCACACGTCAAGGGGCAGAGGCCCAGGACCATCAGTGAGGCCCAGAGAACTGGCCTGGGCATGGGGGTGGGGAGGGCAGAGAGGGAGACCATCACTTCTTGCAGGAAGATCTGAATTCTCGAAGGCTTCCTGAAAGAGAGGACCTTTGGGCTGTGCCTTGAAGGATGAAGAATGGGGGAGAATGGGTCAGGTTTGAGAGAGGCATCTGGGGACAGGCTTTCTAGGTGACAGGCACTACCCATGCAGAGGAAAGGAGGGATGCAAAAGGGGGCATGGGAGGACAGGGTGGGAGGGTGGAAGGGGACTGAGAGTGCCCCAGGTGGGACTTGATTCAAAGGGATGCTCGGGAGCTCTGGAGCAAGAGTGACACAGACCAACAGGGACAACAGAGAAAGCAGCTGAAGACTCAGTGAGGGCAGTGGTGGTGGTGGGGACACAGGGAGCATGTGGGGAGACCCTGGGCAGTGGGGGTACAAACTCCCCCCCCCCCCATGTGATGAAATAGTATGCTGGACCCTTCCCCGTTGGCAATGAAAATCCCAGCGCGTCTCTGCCATCACCGATCGCCAGGTGCCGAGCCGACCTTCATTCTCACCACACCCCGACGTGAGTCCACCCCCACCCCCTTCACGGAGCAGTTAGAGAAGTTGGGTTTCCTGAAGAATGTCACACAGCACGCCACTGGGCCAAGCACCCTAGCACAACACGACACAACAGCGCCCCTGCTGGCAGGACCTGGCCACAGCAGGACCCCATCCAGCTCTGCTCTGGAAAGGGTCGATCCCAGCCCGGAGCCCTACCCGGATGGGTGTCCTGTCCCCCACATTGGGAGCAGGAGAGGAACAGTACGGGGCTAGACCCCCCGGGCTGGGCTGACCCAGCTGGCGGAGGCCTCCCTCCCGGGGTCCCCCGTCCACCCGGAGCGGCCTGTGGGTGGCAGGTCTGAGGCTGAGTGGTTCTGCTCCTGACTCAGCGCCTGCGTCCTGCGGGACTTGCCCTCCTGCCCGCGCTGGGCCCAGTTGCTGGTCTGCGGAGGGAGCCTGACCTCTGAGGCCCTTGCAGCTGGGCCCTGCAGGCTCATACACAATCAGCTCCTTCTTTGGTGATCGCTGGGGCGGCGGGCGAGGAGGAGGAGGACATTTCCACCCTGCGGCTCTTGGGAAACACCAGATGGGGTCTAGAGGGACTTTCTGAGCACCCGAGGTCCCGGGCCTTCCTGCCTGTGTCCCTGCGAGCCTGGCCGCGTGCTGCAGACCCACATCCCGCGGCGCCCTCCCCTTGCCCGGTTAGGTATGGGCTGGAAGTCCCCGTTCGGCATTCCCGCGTCCCTCGAGGACAGCCCCAGATCTGCGTGCACTGATCTCACCCACCAAGAATGCTGGGGCCTGGAGCCCCCATGGGCAGTGACCACAGGATCCTGGCTGAGTGGGGACCACCCACCTTCAGCATCTTCACTCCATTTCTGCAGCAGGAAGGAGTATAGCATTAATGAGGAAAACACTGGGGAAATAGAGGCAGGTTCCCGAGGCCCTCAGCCCCAGGAGTCCCATGTGGAGGTCTAGGGTGGGGTAGGGACCAATAACTCCCTTAAAGCTGTTCCTATGACATTTCAGGGACTAGAAGAAGGGTGCCAGGTTTAATAGACACAGTTAAATATGAGTTTCAGAACAGCACCAAATAAACTAACAGAAGGATGTCCTGGGCCGGGCCGGAGAGATAGCTCAACAGGCTAAGCACATGCTTTGCATGCAAGAGGCTCAAGTTCGATCCCTGGCACCCTTGGGTCTGTGAGAACCCCACCGTCACCCCAGCACAGAGGCAGCTGAGGAGTAGCCCCTCTCCCCCAGCACCACTGGCAAGTGGCCTCAAAACAAAAGCAAAACAAAGGGAAGTTCCAAACAGTGCCAGGACATCTTCGCACTACAACATGTTGGGATGTTTATCTGATGTTCAGATTGAAGTGGGCACCCAGTGTTTTGTCTGGATATCCTGGATGGGTGGGTGCCCGACAACTGGGGGGAGGGTGCTGCCCTTGGTGCCCTAGAGCCCTCCCAGCCTCCTGCAGCCACCCATCATCAAACTTGCCCTTTTCTCACCCTTATTTCACCTCCCATGGGGCCCTGCCCAGCCCGAGCCACACATCTGGAGGGCTCCATCGTAGATTGGCAGGGGGTGGGGAGAACCCAGGATATGGGTGTTGGGGCAGGCCAAGAAGGCTCTGAAGCCCCACTCAGCATTGTCCTCGGTGTAGATGATGCATGGAGAAGGTTCCAGCACTCGCTGAACAAGATTCTTCTTGGCAGAAGGGTGGGGGGGGCAGCAAGAGACCCCCCCAGCCCCCAACTCCTTTGGTGAGCTCACAGTCTGTGGAAATGCCAAGAGAAAGGGGTGGGGGGTAGGGAGGCAGACCCCCCATTGCACTTGGATCAGGAGATTGGAAGATTCGATCCTAGCAGGCTGAAAAGGGCCAAGAGATAATGAGAAACAGAGAGGGGGGAAGATGGGGGAGAGAGAGGGAGAGGGAGGGCTGGAGGGTTGGTGAGTGAGACCCAGAGACACGGGGCGAAACAGAGCCGGGAAACAGACAGGCGGAAAAACAGACCCCGGGAATGAGACCAACAGACACACAAAGAACCAGCCAGGGGGGTGACAACGGGGAGCGATCCGTGGGGACTGACGGGAGGGCTGGAACCGGAAGACGGAGGCCTGGCAAAGTGGGGAGGCTCGAAGTTAAACATCAGCAGAGATAAGATTGAGATGAGAAGCAGAGATGCTGGGGAAGGAGCGAGAGGGGTGGGGTGAGGGGGGTGCGGCGCAGGAAAAAAAAAAACTGGCCGGAGCATGGAGCCTCCTTTGCGGCCAAGCTGGGGTATTTTCAGCGGCAGAGTCAGGCCCGAGACGCTTTTGAGCAGGAGGTGTCTCATTTTGAAGAACGGAGCTTGCCCGGGAGCGCTCCCTCCTTCCCCAGCCGCGAGCGGTCCCTCCTCGCCCACTGCCTCCACTTGGCCCCCTGCCTAGAGCTGTGAGCTCCGTGTACTCCGACTCCAGCACGGCCTCCACGCTTGACCGTCAGGCTCTCCCCCTGCGCCTGTCACCCACCCAGATTGCCTCCCAGGCTGACCGCGAGCCAGCTGCTGGGACAGCACAGCGGTCGGGGAGACCCAGCCCGGGTCCCCGCCTGGGCTCCTCCCTGCTCCCGGGCGTCCCGTATTGAGCGATGCTGCCACCTGCCGGCAGGACTCGGGAAGTGCCCGCGCGCCTCGGGTGCAGGGGCGCGGCCGCCCAGGCTCGGAATCCGGCTCCTCCCGCGACCGCCGCCCGCGCGGGGTCTTCCCTGGAATCTGGATGGGCCTGCTCGCCCATGCCCCAGGTCTCCTGGCGGAAGAGCCCGGGGACAAGTCTCTGAGCCTCGGGGTCTTACATTTCGCCTGTAAATCAAATGGAGGAAGCGTCCCAATACCTCCTTCCAGGCTTTCAAGGGAGGTGAGACTACTGGACCTGCACTTTGCAATCAACCAGGGGTCCCTTCCGCCTCCCGTCCAGTTACCTTCCCTCCCCCCACCAAAGGGGGCAACACTCCCCCCATAAACTCCGCTCACAGTCTTTTCGAGGGTCCCTGCCTCCTAAAAGTCCAAGGTGAGCGGGGACTTCAGTGACTCTCTTCCCAGTGAGCGAGCACCCCCGTCCTTTAATACTCGCATCTATGAAGAGGTAGAAGAGTTGGGGGTGGGGAAGGCATAATTTGACCGTTTTCAAGGAACCTCACATTCTTTTTTTTAATCAATTGGTGCCTACCTCCCAATTCCCAAGGCCCAAGCTACATACCTGCCGCGTTCCGGCCCTCTGGAAAGACGAGGAGGCGGCCCTGGCCCCGCCCCTCCCGCCCTGGGCCCGCCCCTTCCTACAGGTGGGACCCCATAGGTGGAGAATCGTGGGAGCGGCCCTGGACCCGCCCCCCCGGGGCCTGGGCTCCGTCCCCTCTCTAGGCGGGGCCCCCCAGGTGGAAAACTAGGGAGCGGCCGGGCCCCGCCCCTGTACCCTGCCCCGACTTACAGACGCTCCGGAGCCACACTGTAGGATGCCTTACGCCGGGCTCCCCGGCTTCCCACCCACCTTGCTGCTTGGCCTGCTGGCCTGCCTTCCACAGGTGAGCGATTGGGGGGTAGAGCTGCTGACCCTTGGGGCCAGGGCCTGCTTCCAGAGCGGCACCATCTGTAGTGGGGACCAGGGAGCGCTGACACCTGTGAATGGGGACTTTGACCCCCTACTAATTAGCCGTGGTCCTCCTTTCCCGTTGCGTCAGAAGTCGAGGAACAGAGGGGCTCTGCGGTCTGGGCCATCCTGTCTCCCCGGATGTGCACCCCCCGCCCCCCCAGTGCTGTGCGTCCTTGAGAGGGCTGTCTCCCTTTCCTGAGGCCCAGGTGGCTCCCTGTCCCCTTTAGGACCCGAGGCAAGATTCCCGCGCGCAGGCAGGAGTTGATCTTTTGTCTCCTGGCCCCAGGTTGGGATGACCTCCGAAATCTGAAATCTGCGATCTGAGCTGGATGCAGTCTCCCTCCCTCCCTTTCCCTTATTCTCTTAAAGGGTTGGGGAGTGCCATGGGGGTTGGGTGCCCTGACCTGGAATGGAGGGCAGATTATCTTTCTTGGAAATACCGATTCTTCACTTGTATTGAAAATCCAGGGAAGCACCCTGCTGGTCCAGGACATTTCCCAGTACGGGTGCTCTGCCCCAGGCTCTGCGCCCCCCTGCCCCAAGGCCGTCACCCTTCCCTCCTGAGCGCCCAGTGTAGTGCCACCTCCACCCTCAGCCCCAGGGGCAGGAGCCCTGTCCGCCCCCTCCTTCCCCCCCATCAAGAGATCACTCCTCACACTTGATCAAACTCAGGTTCTGAACCACCTCAGACAACCCGAACTTCTTAAAACCTGATGGAGTCGTATAACTGAATATTGGGTTCTCAAAAAATTTGGCCACAGTGACCAAAAATCAAGTTTACTCAAAAATCAAGCATGTTTGGGCCAGAGTGATACAGCCAGCCAGTACAGCGGGTAGGGCGTTTGCTCCGCATGTGGTCAAACCCAAGTTTAATCCCTGGCACCACATAGGATCCCTAAGTGCAGAGCCAGGAGTGATCCCTGAGTGCTGGATGTGGCCCCAAAACACTTTTTTAAAGATCTATCATGTCGTATCGTGGGGTATTTCTGGCAGCCTGGGCTGCATTTCTCTAGAGAAAAGGGGTTATGAGTGGAGAAGGTTGAACCCTGCCCTGCACTTCTTTCCTGCTTTGCAAAAGGGGAGAAATGAGGGAGAAGCACCACCCCTCCAAGCAAGCACTCAGGGTGCAGCATTGTTCAAACCTATTCCTGATGGGGACTGGGGGGTCGTGGGGAAGGCCTGCGGAAGGGTGACTCCTGCCTGTCCCCAGCCCTGCTGCTTCCCCTGGGTGCTCTGCAGCCCTCATCTTCTAAGCCAACCCTCCGGGCTACATTCCTGCCCCGTCCCCTGGGGCTACCAAGATTGTGCTCACGTGGGACTGCACAGAAGGTGGAACCGGCCTAACCATTCCCAGCTCCTGGGCTTTCCTGACTTCCTCTGTCACTAGTCATGTCATGATGATTGCAGTATTCTGGGAGAAAGCAACAATGACGTGTGTGTCTGTCCCCCGCAGATGTTGGGTGAAATGAAACCATCTTATCTGTGGATGTCCTTTCATGCTTTCTGCCAATATTGGGACTGTTGGGGGTGTTCTCCTTTTGGAGGGAGCAGACAAAAAATAAGTTCCTTCCACCATGGAGTCAGGCAATTAACAAGACCATGTCACGGTCACGGTCACAGTCCTCCCGTTGTTCATCGATCTCCATTGGAGACTTTTGTTGTTACTGTGTTTGGCATATCGAATATGTCACGGGGAGCTTGCCAGGCTCTGCCGTGCGGGCGAGATACTCTCGGTAGCTTGCCGGGCTCTCTGAGAGGGGTGGAGGAATCAAACTCGGGTCGGCCATGTTGGCTTCGTGCAAGGCAAACGCAAGACCAAGTCAAATGTAGCATATTAGGCAGTTCATAGAGCTATATGTAGTAGCATGCTATATGTTTGCAGAGATAAAATATATAGCCTGTCCCATGTTGCCAAGTTAAATATTTAGATGTTCAATGTTGCAGGAAGGTCAGGTGTGTGTGTGTGTGTGTGTGTGTGTGTGTGTGTGTGTGTGTGTGATTTTAAGTCCGTGTTCAGAGGGAGGGGCTGGAACCAGGTGTGCAGATATGGAGGGATTGGGAGACTTCCAGGAAGGAAGGGCTTACACGTGACAGTGGTTAATCAGGGTAAACTCTGTAATGACACCCCACATGGCCTGCAGACATCATGCAGAATGGGTGGAGACAGATGACTGGTCCCAGACTGATGTCTCCAGGGCTTTGCAGAGTGAGGAGCGTCACCCCTGCTCCACGCAGAGGGCTGAGGGGTGAATGGGAGCACAGTAACCCAGTGGAGAAGGCCTGAATGTGGGAGGGGGTCAGTGTGCTCAAAGGATCCTGGGGCAGTGAGGGGAGGAGTTCAGACGGGGGAGGGGCTCTGAACCTCAGAAGCAGGCAACAGTCTGGTGGCATCAGGCTGGTTTGCAGGAGAGGAATTGCCCGTTGTGAGCGGCAAGACTCCGTGGGCAGGACAGTCTTTGGCATCCTGGCACTGCTGATATCCAAGGCAGTGTTTGGGTCCATGACCCTAAACTCTGCCTCTCTTCTTCTGCAGGTTGCAGCCGTCTGTGATCCCGAGTAAGTCCAGGGGACACCCCCGATCTGCCTCACGAGCCTCACAGGAAGGAAGAGAGTGGCCCATCCTTTATTCTCACCCACACCCCTTCCAGCAGAAACCATCCCTCACCCCTCTCCCCCGCCAGCCCATCCATACTGGGAGCACTTGGGTGTGTTGAAGCCCAGTCCTGTCCTAACCTTAGTCCAGTCAATGTCGCAGTCTGCACCCACCTCCATATGTAAATAAATGCCAAGATTCCTGAGATGGACAAGGGCAGAGAAGGCTCCAGCACATTCCCAAACATTCCAGTACCCCCTTTTTTCTTACCTCCTATTCCAAAGACGCCAGCAAGGGTTCCCAGACACTCCCAGCCTGGCCCTGCTCTGCTTCTCCTTAGATAGACGTGAGCGCAGACCCCTGCTCCCCAGAGCGTGGGAGCTGTGGAGGGTGGGGGGGTTCCCCCTGCCTTTGCACCCACAGTCTCTCTGCCCTGCCCTCAGCACCTGCCCTCCTGGATACCAGTGCTGCTATTACACCTGCTGCAAGATAAATGAGTCCTTCAGTTCTTTGAAGTGAGCAGGACTAAGAATTGGGACGGGCTCCCATGGACTTCCTGCTGGGGGGGCTCCTGTGGGTTTCCTGCTGGGGTTCTCCCATGGGCTTCCTGCTGGGGTTCTCCCATTGGCTTCCTGCTGGGGGTCTCCCAAGGGCTTCCTGCTGGGGGCTCCCGTGGGCTTCCTACTGGGGGGCTCCTGTGGGCTTCCTGCTGGGGGCTCCTGTGGGTTTCCTGCTGGGGGCTCCCGTGGACTTCCTTTTGGGAGGGTCCTGTGGACTTCCCTCTGGGGTTGGGGCTAGCTTGGAGTCTCAGGCGGCTCCTTCTTTCCCGAAGGCTCTTCATCACTGCCACCTTCTCCATTGGGCTCTTACTGTGTCTGTGTGGCGTGGTCAAGAGCTTCTGCTGCAAATGCAAGGACCCAGAGCCGGAGATGGGCCTCACAATGGATTATTGCATGGACCCACAGATGACGCACCCCAGACCACCCCCGGAGGAGGTCAGGGCGCCCTTCCCTGAGTACCCACCTCCCTACCATGAGGTGAGTATGTCCCAGTCCTTCACCTGCAGCTCTGCTGACTGTCTGTCTGTCTGTCCCCGTGGAGCAGCAGCACAGACCAGGGTCTGCCTGCAAAGGCGCCTCCGCCCCGCACTGGCTGTATCTCTCCGGGGTCAGCATGCCACATGGGGGTGACAGTGGCCAGGCCCAGGTCCTAGGGCTTCCCTCCTCTCTCTGCAGGTCATTCGGAGGCCTGACCAGGACCTGCCCCACAGAGAGCCACCCCCACCCTACAGCTTCAGGCCTGAAGGATATTGGGGGACAAGCAGGGGCATTGACAACCCCGCCTTTTGAGCCAGCCCTTGCCAAGCCGCTGGGCCGGCCAGTGGGCTCTGATGTCCCTGGATCCTGCCGCATCTTTGTCCTTCTTGGATTGAACTCATTGCTTCGCCCATTCCGGCACCCCTGCAGTTTCTGGCTCTGAGACCTTGTTGGCAGTGACAGTCTGTCAGCGGGGACGGTGGGGGTGGGGGTGCCTCAGTGAGGCTCTGCCTGCTCTGGGCCTGGGGAGAACCCGGTTTCTGGGTCACACCAGTGCGGAGAGATGGGCACTGTTGTGCCTTGGGACTGAGCCCCACCGCATGCTGCCTGGACAGTGAAGCCCCGCCCCGCCCAGCGGGGGCCTTGTACCCCAACATCGGAGCTCACTAAATTTCAACTGATTGGAACTGAGGGCTGGTCTCTGGCTGTGTGGGGAGGTGAGTGGGCATGTTTGTGGAAAGAGGGGTCACCCCCTAAATGCCACCACTGGTGAGTCCTCCAGGGGTGCACAGACCCCCTGGCTAGACAGCGTAGGGGCAGATGCATGGACCTGCTTGGTGAGGCCCGGGGAGGGTGGGATGAGGGGGTGTGCCCCCCCCAGGCCTTCTTCCTCCACTTGTCCCACAGAGCTGTGCTCACAATCTCCCAGGCTCACAAGCTCATCCTGGGAACTGCAGGGCTTGGGGAGGGTCAACCACCCCTGGGACCTTTCTGGAGGAGCAGGAAACAGGGCTAGTTCACCCTGACTAGCTGCTTCTGCCCATGCACAGCACCACCCCTCAGAGGACAGGAAGAAGCACCCCCATTTCCACAGCGTGGAGCTGGGAGGCTGGCGGGGGACTTGCAATGGGATAGATGCCCCCATGCCAGCGTCCCAACCACCACACACCTCTCGTGGCACCAGCCAGCAGTCACAGGGCCACAGCTGCCAGGATGGGCAAAGGAGTTGGGTGTGGTGCCCGTGGGTGTGTCTTCCAGTTATACCCACGCTGTGGGCACCGGAACTGGGGCAGGTGGTGTGTCTGGGAGTGGGGAGATGCTGCAGGTGGTAGGAACTGGGATTCTGGGTCCGCCACCCTGTGCCACTGGCCTGGTCATGGGAAGAGTCGGCCCTCGGATGCTTCCCTTCAGTGGCAGAGTGTTGGGGCGTGGAGATATAGGGGTGCTCTGTCTATATATAACCGGCTCCAGTGAAGTAAGTCTCAAAACTGAGGTTTCCATGACTGTGGCAGCCTCTCAACTCAGTGAGCAGATGCACAGCCACAAGCTCTCATGCCTGGAGAGAACCGCATGGGCCAGGCCCACCCTCCAGGCTCAGGACCCAGAATCCTCTGGGATGGGCAGCCCTGAGGGAAGTTTCTAAAAGCCAGGCCTGTGGGTCGGCAACTAAAGCTTCTCCGTGCATTGTGGGGAGAGGAAGTAGCCCCCTTCCTGGGGGGTCTAGGGGTCTACGTGCATGCCTCAAGGTTTACCCAGCATCTGCTGTGTACCCAGCACCATGCCCAGGATGGGGAAGGGGTGGGGGCGGGGTCATGAACATTTTACCTGCAAGTGAGTCAGCAATGGCTCATGGAGGAGTCACCCTGCAGAGATGCCCTCACCCCCAATCTAGCGCTGCAGCTTTGTAACTGGGGGTGAATGAAAATGCACAAAACATGCATTGTTGGGAACCCGCAAAGTCCTCCAGTTCATCCCTGAGGGAATGCTACACAGCCTCGAAAAAGAATCCAGGGGAGATGGCTCCAAGAACCAGCGCTCGAGCCTGCGGGAGATCCAGGTTTGATTCCTGGGCACCACCTGCGGTAGGTAGCCCCCACAAAAATAAAAAGAACATGCAAGATTGAGCACTAACCCAGCACCATACCCACCATTTATTGTAACCGAGAACAGGGGCTAATCCCATCTGTGTGCTCTGAGTTTGCTCCCAGTGTTGCTCAGGGAACACACAACGACAAGGATCAAGCCAGGGTTGGCTGCGCACAGGGCAAGCACCTTCTCCCCTGCTCTGACACAGGGTCCCCTTTAGAAGGCCTAACCGCCACCACGCACAAGAGCCCATGTATTACACTGCTCCATTCCCTTTTGCAAAGACCTCGTCATACGATGCTCAGTGGCCTCCCGTCAGTGGTGGAGGTGGATGCAGTGGTACACACAGTGTACCCGTACACACAGCCTGGGGAGTGTGGTTTATCTCACTGAGGTTTGGGGACGACACTGACGTGTGCACGTCAATGAAAGCACCAAGAAGGCCTTTCTCAGGAGTCATCTCCATCATCATCAGTGACACCTGCCCGCCTGGAAGAGACCTAGGAGACAGGAATGGAGAGATGCCTGCCTGGAGAGAACCGCGTGGGCCAGGACCACCCAGAATCCTCTGGGACGGGTGGCCCTGAGGGAAGTTTCTGGAAGCCCGTTCTGTTGGTTGGCAACTAAAGTTTCTCTGCACTGTGGGGAGAAGAAGTAGCTCCCTCCACTCCACTTTGAACTGGCTGGCATGGAGTGTGGTGGGGCCCGGTCAGAGGGGCCAGCGCTGGGCCGGGGCTTTTCTCTGTGCTTTGTCACCATCTGTTTGTGGGTTGTTGTTGTTGTTGTTGTTTTTCATTTAGCATGCCTGGCTTCCCGATAATTGAAAGCAATTCACAGGGTTAGAGTGCGGAAGATACACCTTGTGGACTTTGGTCCATAGCAATTCCTCCTTTTCCTCCCTGCTATGAGGAAGAGGACTCTGGCAGGGGACAGGCACATGCTGTTGTGCTGTTGCATGCATTCCAGGGAGTTGACAAAGCACATGTGGGACAGCCCAGGCATCTGGGGAGCTCGGGACCCGCGCACCCTCTCCGGGACTGTCTGACCCACGAGGAGCTGGTGTCCGGCTGGGACCTGTAGGGGCACCTTCCTCCAGCTCCTCTCTCACGCCTGGGCTTCGGGCATCCCCCGTGACCATATCATGAAAGATGGAACCTCTTGATGAATGAAGGAATGAGTGGATGAATGAAGATCAAACATTTGTCAAGATACCCACAGCTCAGTGTCACAAAGGTGCTCCTGAGTATAGCATAACATAACATGAGACTGACCCCCAAGGACAGTAGACACAAGGGCCAGGAAGATTACTCCATAGTTTGAAGCCTGCCTCATGAGCAGGGGGAGAAGGCAGCTGGAATAGAGAAGGGATCACTAAGAAAATGATGGTTGGAAGGATCGGTCAGGATGGGACACGTGTGCTGAGAGTAGATAAAGAACCAAAAGTGAGGGTCTATTGGTATCTGTGTTGCAAACCATAATGCCCAAAAGTAGAGAGAAAGTATGTGGGAAATTGTCTGCCATGGAGGCAGGGGGAGGGTGGGGAAGGGGGGAGGTATACTGGAGAGATTGGTGGTGGGGAATGTGCACTGGAGGAGGGATGGGTGTTTGATCATTGTATGATTGTAATTCAAGCATGAAAGCTTGTAACTGTATCTCACGGTGATTCAATAAAATAAAATTAAAAAAAAAATAGGTGCTCCTGGGCTGGAGAGAAAGTGCAGGGGGGAGGGCACTTGATCGCTCATGCAGCCAAGCCCAGCTCTATTTCTGGCACCACAGAGGGTCCCCCGAGCACGGCCAGAGTGAACCCTGAGCGCAACTAGGTCTACTAGAGGCCCCTCCCCAACAGTGCTCCTTGTGGCTGTGGATTTCAACTGTGTCCAGGGATGCCTCAGAGGAAAGCAGGTGCAGGGAAGCTGCAGCGAGAGACAAGGCAGAAGCTGGCACAGAGGGAGGTGGAGAGGGCAGCTGGTGTGGGTGAGAGGACACGAGTCTGAGTGTCACTCTATCCTGGGGAGTTACAACTCCCACTCACGGGCAGGGACTACTCCCAGCGGTGCTCGGACAGTGACAGGAACTAACCCACTCAGGCACCAGCCCCGGGACTCTCTCCCCAGCCCCAGAACTGCCCCTTCTGAGGCCTCCCTGACTCATCATTCCAGGGGAGACTCAACCCAGTTTTGGGGTCTCCCCGGGGAGCTGGCTCAGCACCAGCCAAGCCTCCCTCTTATTCAGACCTTTCTCATCACCCCCTCTCAGGGCCCCCCTGATATTCTCTCACCATTCACCCCCTTGTCTTCCCAGCCTGCTTCCATCAGCCCTTCGTCCCATCTCCACGTGAAGTGGCCTTGTGTGTTGACACCCCCGGGACCTGAGGTCGCACTAGTCTCCAATGGCATGTGATGCCTCGGCCACTTTCTCCTGGCAGAACTCTGCCGCCCATGCCTGGTTCTCCTCCTTCTGGGCTCCTTCCCTCCTTCCTCCTCCACCACCATCTCTAACTGGCAGAGCTTCTTCTGTTGATGGTGGAGTTTCCCTCTTAAGCCCTTTCTTGTCTTAACTGTGCCATAATGGGCCCAAGCGTTCTGCGACTCCAGAGGCCATCGATTGTCCCACAAATCTCACATATTTCTCTCTAGCCAATATTCCTGACAGTGCTCAGGGGACCCTATAAGTTTCCAGGGATCAAACCTGGGCCAGCCATGTGCAAGGCAAGTGCCCTACCTGCTGTACTCTCTCTCTCCAGAACCCCTCTGACCAAGGCTTTCCTTGACCTCTAGATTTACCTGTTTAGCCGAAGGGCAATGACCTAACAGCTCCTGAGGCATGTTCCACAGCCCACCTGAGGCAAAGTTCCTTCAACACCACCCCTAACCGGGTCCTGCCGAGTTGCTCCGTCATAAATTAATGCTGTGGCCAGCCAGCAGTTCAGTCCCCCACACAAAAGGAGTAACTCTGATATCTCCTCCTCTCTCCTCCCCTGCATCCTTCCTTGACAACAGCCCCATGTCCACTTTATAATCATTCCTGGTTTTAGCCCTCGCCTGAAACCCAGGGAAGGAAGCCCAGGCCGCCCTCACGACTTCCCGCCTCCCCCCTGCCCCCTGCTGTTCATTTTCAGCACTGCAGTCAGGGAGATCTGGATACTTAACGCGGACCCCTCAACTTTTTTTTTTTTTGCGGGGGTAGGGTTACACCGATGCACAGAGGTTACTTCTGGTGGTGCT